CCAAACCTTGGGGGCTCGGACAGTAAAGAAGTTCTTCCTTATGTCCAGCCTGAAACGGTCCTGGAGGAGTTTGTGACAGTTCAATCTTGTCATCCCTTGGGGCGCTGTGATGAACAGACGTTCCCCCAGATCCTGGTGAGCACCCTTGATAAACTTATAGGTGGCCACCAGATCACCCCTGAGCCTGCACTTTTCCAAGCTGAAGAGTCCCATGGCTCTCAGCCTCTCATAAGGTCTGTTTTCCTGACCCTTGATCATGTGCGTGGCTCTCCTCTGCACTCTCTCAAGCTTCTCCACATCCTTTCCGAATTGTGGAGCCCAAAACTGGATGCAGTACTCCAGCTGCAGCCTCACCAAGGCCAAGTGCAATGGGAGAATGACATCCTGCGATTTGCTTGAGAAGCATCTAGGGATGCAAGCCAGTGTTTTGCTTGCTTTACTAGCCGCAGCATCACATTGAAGGCTTGTGTTCATCTTGTGGTCAATCATGACCCCCAAGTCCCTTTCGCCTGTAGTGCTAGCCACCGTACCACTGCCAAGCCTTTAAGTATGCTGCAGGTTTTTCCTCCCAAGGTGAAGAACCTTGCATTTTTTGGTGTTAAACACCATCAGGTTCTTGTCTGCCCATTTTCTGAGCCTGTCACGGTCAGCCTGGATCACCCTCCTGTCCTCAGGTGTGGACGCTTTAGCCCCGAGTTTGATGTCATCAGTGAACTTGGCCAGTCTGCTTCTGACACCAATGTCCGCATCATTAATGAAGATGTTGAACAGTGTAGGCCCAAGGACAGAGCCTTGAGGGACCCCACTGGTCACAGGGCACTACGACGATTGACTTCCATCAACCACCACCCTCTGGGTCCTACCGCGGAGCCAATTCCTCAGCCAGCAGATCATGGTGAGGCCGAGGCTGCAACTAGCCAGTTTTGCTAAGAGGTGATCATGGGATACCAGATCAAAGGCTTTTTTAAAGTCAAGATATATGACATCAATCTCTTCCCCCTTGTACAGGTGATAGGTCACCTGGTTGTAAAAGGAAATAAGATTGGTCAAGCAAGGCCTACCCACAACAAACCCATGCTGGCTATCCTTCAGGATGTTGCCATTGGCCAGTCTGTTAAGAATGGCCTCTTTGATAATCTTTTCTAAGACCTTCCCCGGGATAGAGGTCAGGCTGATGGGCCTGTAGTTTGCTGGATCCACTTTCCTCCCTTTCTTGAAGATAGGCACCACATTGGCCTTCTTCCAATCTTTGGGCATTTCACCAGAGTGCCAGGAGGTCTCAAAGATCCGTGCCAGGGGCTGGGCTATGATGCTCGCCAGCTCCTTGAGTACCCTGGGGTGTAAACTGTCAGGATTGGCTGACTTGAAGGTATCCAGCCTCTCAAGGTGTTCCTTCACAAGGTCAGCATTGATGGAGGGTAAGGAATCTCCCTCACCCTCCCTGTCCCGTAATAGGTAGGGGTGTCCCGTGGGACTGGTGAAAGACTGATGCAAAGTACCCACTTAGCAAGTTGGCTTTTTCCTGGGGGTTGGTTGTCAGTTGTCCCATCTGGTTTAGCAGGGGTCCAATGTTGCCCTTGCTTTTTCTCCGGCTCCCCACATATCTAAAAAGGACGTTTTATTGTCCTTGATACTTGTAGCTAGCTGGAGTTCTGTCGCAGCCTTGCTGGTTCACTCCCTGCAGGACTGGACCAGTGCAGAATATTCCTCCTTGGAGGTGGATCCAGTCCTCCATCCTTTGTAGGTCTGTCTTTTTAGGCACAGGAGGTCTGCTAGTTCCCTGGAGAGCCAAGGAAACTGCTGTGCCCTTTTGCTGCCTTTCCTCCGAGATGGAATAGACTTTGCTTGTGCATCCAGGATCGCTCCTTTGAGGAGCAACCACTCGTCCTGAACTCCCCTCCCCTTTGGGCTGTGGCCTTTTAGGGCCTCACTGACAAGCTTCCTGAGCTTTTCTGAAGATTCGGAGAGCTTTGAACCGATTTGGTTCTTTAAATTGATTCCCCGATTCGATTCGGATTCGGTGATTCGGCCACCGAATCAGGCTGAATCTCCTCCAAATCGAATCACCACCCGAAGCTTCGCACAGCCCTATTAGTAAGTGGTTAGGTGTTTCCTACAAAAGACTGAGAGCTAAGCATCTGCAGTAAATCCAGCAGCTGGATGACTGAGAGGAGGGAGTCTTTGGAATGGTAAAGGGTAGATTGGTAGACAGACTACCTTGTTTGATAGCTTGCTTACATTTTAAGTTTAAGTTTTAGAATAAAACTTTCCTGGAAGAGACTTGGACTTAGCAATGAGTCTTCCTGGGCTGGGAAAACAGGCCAGCTGCCTTATGAAAGCAAGCAGCTGCCTACGCTCTGGTTTTCCACTTATGGCCTTTTGGTAAGGGAAGAACTGTATTAAAAAGTAAAACTCTTAGTCAATATTTGACAAAATAAATGAAAATAAAGGAGAGTTGAGTCTTGGGTGAAAGTTATCCATTCTATTGGGTAAATCATTTTGCCCACCTGTAGGCTACTGCTTAGATAGAACAGTAATCAGTCAACCCTCTCCTCTTTTGCCAGGTTACCCCATGTTCTTAGATTACTTTATACAGTAATATTTTGTCCTGGGTCAAACAAATAAGAAGTCCACATCTGTTATTCAGTATTCATCCCTTGGGAAGCACGTGGCATTGATACCTGCCTGGGAGGTTCTCTGGAGCCATTAACTATTGTGTTATGATTGGCAGTTGTTATGTTACTATAAAAAAGTCAAAGGTTTAGTTCAGCTGAGTGGCCCTTCAGGCTAGCATGGTTAAGGTGTGTTAGTTTCTGTAGTCAATGGCACAAAAGCAAGTGATGTTTGGCAGCTTTTGACTTCCCAGCCTGAATGACCAGGTGCCCATTAAAAGCTGAGTTGACTGGGAGCATCCTTTGGCACAGATCCAGAGCAGGGCCTAATATCATGCTTCTAGAGCCATAGAGAGGCACCTTAACTTCTTTGCTAGAACACTTATCACTTCTCTTGCAATGCACACACAAATATAATTGTCATTCAACATTGATAAGAAGGGTCTATATAGTGATTATACGGTACATGCCAACCATGTAAACATAATGCCCAAACACCAATGGAAGCCTGGACCATTGTTTGGCTCTGTGTCCCTGTAGGAATACAAAACATTGAGAATACCATGGCAGTGCCTCAGCATGACCCAAGTGACAGTCCAGTCACTGATCTAGCTCCAGTTATAAGTTTGGTTAGTGTTTCAGCTTAGAATCAAGTGTGTTCCCAGGCCAGCTCTCCCACTGACAGTTACTTATTCAGGTATAATTCCTGAATTATTCCAACAGGAGTTGGAGAGCCAGGCTTTCACAAAAAACAAAGAGTGTAATGATGGGAATATAACATGGAAGCAACCAGGTTCTAACTGGAGACTCCAAAATGGCAAATAATTCTAAGCAGATCATTGTCTTGGTCTTTAATCCTTGACATGCCAGGTAAAGGCATGTCAAGGAAACAAACATGAAGAAGGAAGTTAAAGAAACGTGGTGGCTCAGTTAAATGGGGGCTAAGAGAGAGGAGATGAGGGTGTGCCAACGTTTTGCCTAATAAGACAGAGGAGGAAGTTCCTAATCTAATTGCTCATTCCTCTCATTCCTAACCTAGTCTGGGGTGGAGCACAAAGATACCACTTGTTAGTCCTGCTTCTCTAACAGGAACATCAGAAAAACATCCAATTCTAAATAAGGAAAGGGTTTAATGTTTCTCTTTAGCCTCAATTTAAGAGACAGGGAAGACAGGCTTCTTGTAGAAATGTTGGGGAGGGAGAAAAGTTTGGTTCTGGGTGTATTTCTTTTTTCCATTCTCCATTGTTGAAGTTTGTTTTGAGTCTTGACTTTTTAGAGGTTTAATAATCTGTACTCTGCTCCCTGGTTTCACATTGTTGTCTCGCTGCTGCGATGTTTGTGGGTTTCATTATCCTGGAAGATCAGGTGGTAGGGCTTTTCATTATCCTCAATCACAGAGTTATCAAGCTCACTGTCTTGTGCTTCCAGCTCATGCCGAGACAAGTGTTCCACTATGCCAGCTCCCAGAGAATCCCCCAGTACATTGGTGGCTGTTCTGAGACGGTCCCTGTAAAAGAGCAGAGAAGAATGACATTGGGAAGATTTCCCACATTTCCCTAGACAAAGAAAAGAAAAAGAGGTTTTGTGAAATACTAATTTATTTTGTGACTAGAACTGGCTGAAAAATGTCAACAAAAGAGAGTTTTATCCAACATTTTCATACTGGAAAACCTTTCCAACTTCTCAAGAAGCTTTAGTGTGAGGTACTATACTTAGGTGATTATAAGAATCACTTGGGTCATAAGACGAAAATAAAATGTGAGCTAAAATCCTTCTTAAGGCAATATGTAGGAGGCTGTGGAGTAGCCTCCTATAGGAAGGAATAGAAGATACATTACTCAGGACATCTGAAGTGCATCTTAATCTAAGAAGGTATTACAAAATGGACTTTCAAGTAACCTGCTCCCTGTTTTTCTGATCCTTCTTTCATTTGGACCAGTGTAACTCTTAACAGAGTTATCAGCAGTATCTTACTGGCGTGAGAAGAAAAATGAGTCTGTATTGGAGGAATATCTATCACCTTCAGTGACTAATAACCTGTGACAGTTTTTCTATTCTGCAGAGAGAGCCTGACTGAGACAGGGTGAGCTGGAACATTGTATTATTTACCAGACTAAATATTAAATACTGGACAATCATGCCACCCAGAATACATAGGTGTTACAAAGGGTACATTTAGCTTGTAGCACATTTTCTACTGAAGAGGATGCATTGCAGAAAAAGAACCCAGCTTGACACTTGAGTTGCAGAAAGTTTTTAGGCTTGACAGTTGGCATTTAATCTAGGTACATTGACAAACAAGGAAACCCAAAACTCATCTTCAAAAACCCACTTATCTTTACAAAACTGCGTCTTAAACAAGCCTAGATAAAATCCATCAAAGCAACTCAAACAGCATTATATAATCTTACTTAAAATTATTTCACAACCCAATTCTGATATTTGTGTTGATATTTGTAATATCATTGTTCTACTAATTCATTCACACAGAGCACTGCTAATGAAGTAATTCAGATGGCCACACACAGAGCCCTCACACAAAATCTATGGCAGTGAAGAGCTAACTCATCTAACAGTATACACACGCTACTATACCTACAAACACCATGGACCAAAACCCTAACTTCTTTATCGCAAGAACAGTAGCTTCTGACTCCATATACTTACTTTGCTAAGAACCGTTTTTCAGTTTCACCTTGACTTTCTACTGTTAATCACCTATTAATTGTATTGAATGTGAAAAGTACATCTAGGCAAGAATCACTTTTGTCCTTTACCTTGCTTGTATCTGATCACAGAACACAAAGAGATTCTCAATGGAGTTGGCAGGGTCAATACAGTTGTCAAATGTTGAGGGGAATGGGATTCTTGGGTTAATAACAAAACTATATTTATTATCAACCAAGGAATCTCATTCCCCCCGACAATTATATTTTTCCTGCCACTTCCCAGATCATAGAGATTCTCAATGGATCAGGGGGTTGGCCAGCTGACTCACATTTATGCATACTACCCAGCTAAAGGAATGAAACTAAATGTTTTTACAAGCTGAAGCCAAGATGCTAGATTATGCTTAAGCCATGATTTAACTGCACCTTTTACTGTGCTCGGCAAAGCACTTCATGTTTTATTATTTACTGCAAAATTCGGAGTTGAACTGACATTTGTCTGATAGAATCAAGGTTATGGTGCACAGTAATTGTGATGGTGGAATCCAAATATCTGTGGGTGGAGACAGAGGTGAATCCAGGATTTGGCAAAGGGGGGGGGGAGGGTATGGGAATAGGAACCTGGGCTGCAGAGGTGGCTGTATGAGCCTCCAGGGAGTTTTTAAAGTCCCTAGAGCAGATAAGAATCACCATTTCCCCTCCATGCCCAGTCACATCTACCCTCCCCTCTCCCTCTTCCCCTCTGCTAACTGCTGCTGCTTTCCCTGCTGTCCCTGGGGCAATGGGAAGATTCAGAGCCGCTCCTGCACATTCCAGGTAGACTGCATGGGGTCTGAGCTCAGCTGGGACAGTGAGAGTGACAGCAGCAGCAGTGAGGGGCAGGACATGGGTTCTCCCACCCTGCCCAGTCTCCCAGGAGCAGGCACAGGAAGGGTAGCACTGCCTGACCAATGATGTTGTTGCTGCCACTGTCCCAGCTGAGCCCAGCCCCCCATTCAGACCTTCTGGAACAGGTAGGAGTGGCTCTTAAGCTTCCCCCCAGACAGCAGGGAAAGCAACAGTGGCAGGTGGGGGAGGGGACATGGTTCTGAGCACTGAGGGAAAAGTGTGGATTCTCACCTGGTTTGGGGACTTTAACAAAGTCCTAAGGTGTGGTCCAATCTAAAAGGGTGGTGCAACCATGCCACTACACCTCTGGTTCTGCCCCTCCATGGGGGAGCAGAGAGCATGACTTGTTTGCTGGCTTACCTTTTAATTGCCTTGCTTTTGTGGCTTTTTTATTACATGAGTTGCATGTGACATAAGTATAACTGTTTCACAATAGGATTTTTTGTGTTTAAACTTCCTACCTTTTTGTAATAGAGCTTCTGCTGAGCTGGGTGGGCATCAGCCTCAGCTGTGACACTGCTGGCAGGTCCCATGTTGGGGCTCTGGAACCTGCTGGCTGTGCCTACAGCTGATGCTGCCATCCATCCATGGTGGCAGAAGCTCCTGCCTGGGTTCAAGGTTCCTGGCAAATTACAGCTTTGGCTGTGCTCTGGGGGGAGGGAGGGAGGAAGGGAAGGGGAGAGAGAGAGAGAGGTGGCTCTCGACAGGTCTCCAAAACTCTTTAAATGGCTTGCCAGCCATAATAATTGGCCATCCCTGGTTTAATCATTGGTGTGGTGGGGGAGGGCATAGAGTTGCGTTAGACTGGGGACCTGTGTTACATGCAAGCGTGCCAGGCAGAAGCTTTACTGGAGGATGATGCTAGGAACTGTACTGACACAGCTCTCAGCACTTCTCTATACACCCAACAAGGCTCACAAAACCTTTTCTTCAATCCAGTCCTGTAGACCACTTGTTGAACCAGCATTGGTTTATTTGTTTTAAAACTAATTTGTATTTGTTTTATTTTAATAATGTTTAGTTGTAATTAGGCTTTAGTATAAATCAATAATGTTTAGCATGAGTATAGCAGTCATTTTATTTTATGTTTTAATGTAGTGATTTTAAGTTGCTATTATGAATTAAGTTTGTTATTGTATCTTTGTCTTTTGTTATTGTAATCATATATATATATATATATAGAGAGAGAGAGAGAGAGAGAGAGAGAAATGTGTGTATGGATGAATGAATGGAGTGTGAATGGTAAAAGCAGAGTAAACTATATGTCAGCAAACAAGTTACCAAACGGTGAATCATGTTGAAGAAGAATAAAGGTAAACAGAAAACACAAGATTGAAGATAAGGTCTGCAACATCTCAAAGCTAAAGACTCTGGACACAGCCCACACCAGCAATAATGAAAGGATGTTGTAAAATAGAGTGATTGAAGAGCAATACCTAAAGACAATGATGAACTGCTTGTCAGGATGGAAAAGTACTGAGATTTCAGACAGAGAAGCCATAGAATTAGAAAAGGTGGACCAGTCACCCAACACCAACTTAATAACCCCTACAAAGGAGAGGGACTTAGCAGCAAGAGGTGGGGTAACACTCTGTGAATTTTACTGGAATACAGATGTGTCTGTATCCCCCATTCCTGATCTCATTCTAAACTAGGCTGGCCACCTAGTATAGTGTTTGAGCAATGAATTTTGGTAACTATAACATCTGCAGAGTGATTGAGAATGGGTGTGTGTGTATGTATGAGCACTCTTTTAACTATTATAATCAATAAATGTGGCATTTTGCCTTATCTCCCTCATCATTTGACTTAATTGGTAATTTGTGCAACACACTGAGCAGAAAAAGCTTAAGCATTACTTAAAGCTTTTTCCAGTAGGTGTGCAACATTTTTAAGCACAACAGCCATCATTATTTCAAAAGCTCCTACTTCCTTAGTTTTCCTTGAACAGCCTCATACCTTCAGCAACACTCT